GAGAGATAAGTGGAGCCCACAGAGGGGTTCAAAGCAGGGCGGTGGGTCAGGACTGAGATCGGTTTGGGTTTTTGAGTGAGCTTTGGGGATGGGGAGGTTCTGGAAATGACCCCATAGGCCCCAGTGAGGGAAAGCCTCACTTTGGTTTGCAATGCTGAGGCAGGCAGGGCAGAGCAGTCCCAGGGTGTGTTGTCACTTGTCTCTCGTGCCTTCTGTGTCTTATGTGCATCTTGTGTAACATCTCTATTGCCTTAGTCCTCCCAGGGGCTTATGAGAAACCCTGGGGTCCTTCCGTTCATCTCCCATCTTTGCGTTCCTCGGCCCGGCGCCGGCGAAGCTTCGATGCGGGAGGTCGGACAGGCGTCAGAATTGCATCTGTCTTTAGAAGCATGTGATCAGATGTTTTCTTAGGTCTCGTTCTCAGCTGTGTCAACAGCTATATGCAGCAGTGTTTCTTTACAGTGGATAAGGACTTGTGCCGATTCAAAGGCAGGCAGAGGCTTCTAGCCACAGGATTCTCGGGCATCCGTCTTTGCGGTTCTTGGAAAATAGTTGTTCCATTAGCATCTTTTTCCTCCGGGGTCACTGGAGCTCGGCAGGCTCGCCTCGGGTCCCTCCTCGGTCATCTCGTTCAGCATTCTCTCGGTCCTCATGAGGACTTTCTTGTCTCAGAGAGTTTTCTCTCCTTGTCATGTCCCCTTGTCTCACGTGTCATGGGTGTCTGGTGGTATTTGGTCCGGAGCTGCTCTGCCCTGGCGCCCAGCCCGGTTGTAGGTGTTTAAGGACAAGTCCCGGGCACTTGTAATTGGAGATTTGTAATATGGGCTGTAGTTGGAGTCTAGCTGGTATTCTTATGTTGGCAGCAGGTGTCTGGAGCTGTGAAGTTACCCTGCAGCACTTTGACTTTTTTCCTAACTTTCTTTCAGATTCAGACAGATTGACCTCCTGGCAGAACACCTGTCCCAGATGAGGGGGTCCCCCTGAGAAGGTCAGTCACGGTTTTACTTTGCAGCGGGGCTGGAACCGGTCACTGTGTTACAGCTCTGCTCTTTGTCTTTATTTCTAGGAAGTAAAGCCGGATAGCAGCGGGGAAGGCGAAGCAGGTGGAAGGTGAGCCTCGGTTGGTGGAGAGAAGCAGTTGTTCTTGCTGGGGTCTCAGTTTCTGCTATAACTTTAATCCCTTGGGTTTTTTTTATTTTAGGTGGTCTACTTGCAAGATATCCCAGCCCAGGATGCTGGAGGACAGGTGGGTGCAAGCTCTGTGTGTGTTTTGGTGTTTAAGTCCCTGGTTTGCTGCTAATCTTTAGTTCTTGAAGGTAGAATGAAAGAACCACATCACAAATCCCACCTTGTGGATCCTGACACACATTGGTGTCACGGACAGGATTCTGAGAGACAGAAGGGGTTGCAGGTTTATCGTGCAGTCATTATCAGGGGAAAGACGTTTCGCCTCAGCCGCCCCTAGCCTGCCACGCTGGTGAGCAGTGTCTAGAAAGCAAGGGAGGTGACTCGAATTTGTTAAAAACAGCACATGCCTCAGGGCAAAGCACCCCACACTCATTTGAGGGCTCTGTCTTCAGAACTTTACAGGGGATCTTTGAGTATGATAAGTGGGACTGAGTGGTTTTTCTGTTTAAAGTCCCTGGTTTGCTGCTAATCTCTAGTTCTCTAAGACAGAAGGAAAGAACCACATCACAAATCCCACCTTGTGGATCCTGACACGAATCAGTGTCACGGACAGGATTCTGAGAGACAGAAGGGGTTGCAGGTTTATCGTGCAGTCATTATCAGGGGAAAGACGTTTCGCCTCAGCCGCCCCTAGCCTGCCACGTCGGTGAGCAGTGTCTAGAAAGCAAGGGAGGTGACTCGAATTTGTTAAAAACAGCACATGCCTCAGGGCAAAGCACCCCACACTCGTTTGAGGGCTCTGTCTTCAGAACTTTACAGGGGATCTTTGAGTACGAGAGGTGGGACTGAGTGGTTTTTCTTCTGTTTCAGTCCCTGGTTGGCTGATAAGCTTTTGTAGTCCAAGATGGAATAAAGGAACCACATTGGGAATTCCACCTTGTGCATTGTGACAGTAACTCAGTGCTTTTTTCTTTTCTGTCT